ACATTAGTGGTGATAGTGGTGCTCCACAACAGTGGTTATATGAATTTTTGTGGAGATGAATTGGCTAATATTTAATCATTCTATTTTTTTCTTTCTTTTTTGTTAATCAATAGGTAGGGTGGTGTTTGTTGAGTAGTTTTATCTTGTGGTATAATATATTGCTTAAAACCCAATTCCTCAATGATGTAGAGAGTAGTGTTGATGTTATGTTATAAGTACTGTGCTCCATAGTGACATGATGATGTGTTCATCATGCCCTGGGCCCACAGGGCTTTTAACCCATAAAAGCAGGGGCACTGGACCAAAAATTGAGTACTTTCTTATGTTTGCAACAGCTGGGTTGCATTCTTTTAAGACAACTTGAATTAGGGCTTTAATGGGCTGCAAATCTATCCATCTGTTAGATCATATAGGAGCAGCCTTCTACATTCTTCTCTGCTGACGGGTGCAGCACAGCTCTTACGCAACCCCAACCTTCTCATCATCACACCTTAGTGATCAGTAGAACTGCACCTCATTGGATAGTGGGAGTGAGAAATCTTGACAATTGAGGTTCCAAAAATGAGGTTTGCTTTACTGGCTCCAACTGTTAAGTAAAGTTTCAATAACAGATCCCCTTTGAGGGGTATTCTGTTTAGCTTCTAATATATGTGCAGCCCCTATATATAAGTTGCTAGTGAAATAATCAATATTCTGCTTGTAAACAGTTAACTGACCTTGTACATTCTGTGAGGCAGAGACTTGAGTGAGTTGCAGTGCAGAGCGGGAGACTGGTGATGCTGTGTGAGATCTTTCAGACTGCAACTCCCAGGAGGTTGTGTTTCTGAAGGGGTGGTTCTGGGTTGGCGTAGCTGAGCGTGCTCAGTCCGGGAGATCCCAGCCAAGAGGACAGATCTGTGAAAGCCTGTCTGGGAGGATTTTTATGTGAGAGACAGAGCTGTGTGGCTGCCGCTGACGAAGAGGGGCTCACAGGCTCTGTGTGTACTGTCAAGGAGAGCGCAGGCTGATCAGACAGCCTCCAGAGAACCAGAGAGACTTTATTCGGTTCTGCTGTGCTTAAAGATACCTAAACAATCGCTTCAGCGAGACCCGGTGCCACTACTACAACCGGGTATATCGCGGCCTCGACGAACGGCCGAGCCAGTACTGTGAGTGATTCGATTCCAGAATGCCCAGCAATTCGAGGGGAGCCTGACGGTGTCGACAGGGAAAGCTGCACAGTGCCTTTCGGTAACCAGAGACCTTCTTCAAGAGACCCCAGATGACTTTAGCATCATCAAAAGTGTCAGCTTAAGAGAAAGGGCACGCCTGTCTTTCGCTGACTGACATCATCTCTTCTGACTGATCCTGGGAGTGGCGAGAGGCCTCTGGCCATTTGTGGTATTTTTCCATTCACATCTGCAATACCGTATGGGCCCCAACGATGGCTATCCTAGACTATTGCTACTGGCCAGTAGTATAGAAAGTCAGAGACTATTTGTGACTGAAACATTAGTATTTTTGTGTTCAAAGTCAAGGATAGTATCTGAGGTAGTTTAGTATTGCATATTTCAATATATAGACAGCCACTGCTACTGAATGTCACAATACCCACTGTATATTGCTAAGTGTTATTATCTCCAATTATTGTGTACATTATTACATTGTTTTATGCATATGCACTAATTATTTCAGTAAAGCCATTATAAAACTCTCTAAGGTCTGTTGGTGTGCTGTGGATCCTGTTTGGGCGGTACATCTGGCTTGGGGGACAGAAATACCTGTGTTACTTTGGCGGCTCCTTCGGGGGTGAGCGCTTTTAAATATGAATTAAATATGAATTAGTGAAATAAACAGACATTTTTGGAAACATTATTTTATTTGAAAAAAAAAAATGTTTCTCTATAAAAAGCCTCAGAAGTGTATGCATTCATACAGTCTCCTCAACCTCACATGGAACACAGATAATGCATGAAGGACTTGCCTAGCTAAACAGACCTTTGCACCACACGCAAAGAAATACATACACGACATAGATCATGTACTGAAATAGCTAGTTCCCCAGAACTTGAACAATACACTGGGTTCATTTTTCCTCCACTACCATGTTACATCAATGTATTTGAAACCTAAACATGTATCTAGTTTACATTGAAAGTCAAAGGGGCAAAATAGCAGACCTACTAGCCACAGACTAAAAATTAAAGGCCAACATAAATATTATTTTTGGTGGAGCACTGGTTGGCTAAACACTTGCTTTATTGCTCTGTTGGAAAGTCTAGCATCTAGAATTTCATAATGTAGCCATCTGTTATACATAGATCCCTAAATTATGTGTTTGTTCTGCATTATGGAAAATGCATAAGAAAACGGTGACACTGATATTTAGACTTCTAAGGCTGCTGCAGTTCTGGTGGGGTAATCCTAGAAATGGACTCCATAAAGCTGATCACACACCAGTCAGATTGTCCTGAGATTTGATATATGCGATTAAAAGAATTTACCAAAAACATTATAGAGTGAGGGTCTAACAAAACAGTCTATTCAATGTATGTGTAATCAGGTAGGAGCAACCAGACTGAACTACACAATTAATGATTACATTTAGTTTAGCAAAATGTAACAGTTATATGGCCAGAATAAGGAATAGGAAGCAGCTGTACGGCATCCACACAAACCTGAAATATAATTATCATGTGGAGTTGGACTTTGAATTCCCCTTCCCCATTTCATAAGAGGGAACTTGGAGGGTTGTAGCACTGTCGTGTATCATCAGCTGTACACTATTGTAATCACAGAGATGCTCAAATGCTAATGGTATAAATGTCAACTGTCCTAATCATATCTAAATGATCTAGAAAGGCTTCAGAAACACATGGTTTGCTTAAATATTCAATAGTCACACGACTAACAGCCATGCTGCGTGCACGGCCATATCGGGTCGCTCCTGGGAAGGACAGGTGCTGCAAGTGATTTGTACGCAGCAGCCTGTTCTTCTCTATGGGAGTAAGCGGCCGTATGCTCACCCGAACTGCACGTCGGTGCGGGTGTCCCTGCTTGGACGCAGACAGGATCCATCCTTTCAGCATACGAATACGGACACCCGCACGGACGTGCAGTTCGGTAGAGCGTACGGCCGCTTACTCCCATAGAGAAGAACAGGCTGCTGCGTACAAATCACACGCAGCACCTGTCCTTCCTGGGAGCGGCCTGGTATGGCCGTGCACGCAGCACAGATCTGTTAGTTGTGTGAATGAGGGCTGCTGCATGTAATAGTATCACATAAGATTACATGCAGCGTGCCGGCAGTCAAATGCAGCAGCTGACACCCGATCATTACCTTCAGCTCTCGTTCACACCTGACCGTTTTGTAGTGCGTTCTACGCTCGACGAACGCTCTACAAAACGCTCAAAAATATAAATTGCATTGTAGTCAATGGTCTCGTTCCCACCTTGCCGTATTTCCGCCCGTCCCTAACGCCCTACAAAACGGCCCACGCCTGAAAAGGTCCAGGTACTACTTTTGGCCGTTTTGTAGGGCGTTTTCCATTGGGATTCAGCCAAGTAGCCTTCGGAATCGCGCGACGGTCGCGGTCGCGAATCGCGGTAAAAAAACCGTGCGACGGTCGCGCGACAGACCTAAAAAACAATCCAGGAATAGCAGTTGCTATAGTTGTATCCTAACTGGTTCCTTTTCAACAATAGCTCCAAAATATTTGAAGTGGGTGGAGGTAGCATGGGGAGCAATGAATGTAGGGTGTAAAGTAGGTTCCCTTTAGGGTTGCCACCTGTCCAGTATTCACCCGGACAGTTTGGGTTTTGAATGCTGTGTCCGGGTTTCATGGCAGCAGAAACCCAGACACAATAGGTCAGGCAGACAGGGGCAACCAAAATCAATAAAGGGTCTACTGGTCCCCCACTGTACAGTCTCGACTGTGATATTTACATATGAATGGGTGGCGCTATTTAAATATGAATAACCCACGACTCCAAAAAAATGTCTAGGCGTCGCTAGAGTGTTCGGGTTTCGCTTGAAGAAAAGGTGGCAACCCTAGTTCCCTTCCATACTAAAGTTTTCAAATCTAGTGAAAGTTCTTGGGGTTGATTTACTAACCTTATAAACACACCACGAACATGTATACACCTCTGTAGTGTGTTCCCTCCCAGCATGATCTATGGGTGGAATCTAAACACCTTTGTAGTGTGTACACACCCAGCAGGTGTGTTGTGCAAAGCCTTGCATGAATTGCAAGGTGATGTTGTGTAAATTAGCTCTATGTTGTGTTGCTTGTGTTGATGAATGCAGGAATGTAAATGCATGAGCTAACCATTTTTGTCTAAACTGTGAAGCAGCATTATATATGCATCATGTGCATGATTTTTCCATATATGGCATTAGTGGAAATATGCTTTTAGAGACCTTGTGGTTGATAAATACGTTTTGCTGTGTGAAAATCACACGCACCTGGTGCGTGCGTGTGTTTAGGTTAGTAAATCACCCCCCTTGTCTCAGTGACTTCCAGAACTGGTGACCTTCTCTTGCCTCTATATCTATTTACCAAAAGATTTCTGTGACAGTGACAACTCCAAAAGGGTAGATGCAGGAACTAGTTGCAAGTCATGGAAGCTAGATTTTTAAGCCTTGGATCACAGGATCATAGAATGGTGGTGAGTGAATTTACACTCTAAACTCACCTCCTGTCTTTCCACATTTTTTTTGTGGAAGTTTAAAGGGCCAGTCCACATAAAACTCATATTTCATTTTGGGCAGATACTGTTGTCAATGGTACAAGTAGTGCATAAGAGATGTACTAGCAAATATATATTTTGGATATGCTTTTTTGTTTTGGTGAAACAGAAACTTTGGACATATATAGGCATATATAAAGCAGTGCAACAAACAATATTAATGTACATATAGTAGTGCAATAACTCATAGCAACTAATTCAAGAGTTACACTAGGTTACTGGACTTTGCTTTGCATTACTGAATAAGCGGGATTGTGTTAGAACTACTCATCTTATCTTTTCCCTTGTATTTGTGCACCTAGGACCTCCTTGGCTTTTAGCAGAGCTGTTTCAGATGGAACATGTAAATCAGGCAGTAACCCTTTGCCTTCCCAGGCTGCACCTGGGTCTTCAGTGGCTGATCGAGATGTAGGGATGGTGAGGTACAGGTGGGTATCATCCACATGGTAGGTTTGAGGAGGATGACATCCTCCACTTGTCTTTTCTCCAATGACATATGCCCGTCCTACTCTCTTCATGATGTACACAAATTCCTCTGCAGCACCCTCTGTCATTGAGCTGGTTAAAATCACAAGAGGTTTCTTGGAGCCAAATGAAGCACCTGCACAAGAAACAGAGTGAGACATATTAGTGCAACTGTTCACTAGTCAGTGCATGATTAGATCAACTGTTTGCTTTTTATTGTCACTTCTCAGCCTTATCAATATTCAGCCCTGGCTGGGGTTAAGGAAACTGAATTTAGTGTCACCTCACATAAGAGTGGGGGTTAGGAGTACTTCCCTTGGTCCCAGTTCCTCCTGATAGGAGTGGATCTACCTGGTCTGGTTATGGGCTGGGAGCACAGTGGCCCGTGATGCTGTGCCCCCTGGGGCTGGCATTCCTGGGCTGCCAGAAAATCACTATGGGTTTGGGAGCTCACTTGTTTCACTGGCACTAGGTCACAGCACTGTGGCTACACTTTTTGGGCAAGCCTTGTAGCTAGCCTGGAGCAATTTGTTTTTATCATGGCCGGAAGGCCTGCCTTGTCTAGCACTGGCGCTTATTCATCTATTTAGTTTTAATGCGCGACTGCACATTTTGACCCCACAGAAGATGGAAGGTATTGGGGGAGAGGTTCTGCGACTTCTCCCCACTCAGGATACTCTCTTCAGGAGAGCCCTCACCAAGTCCTTGGTGGACCAGATTCAGCAGGTCCCTACAGATCGGGGTCTGTCTGGAATCGGCCTTGGTGGAGTAGGGTTACCTTGCCCCTGTCTAAATCCTCGCAACCCAGGAGGTTCAGGGACCAAAGTGCACAAGAGGAGGACCAAAAGCTCTCTTGTGCACTTTTTTTTTTAGTGAGTTGGGATTTCACAATTCACTTTTTCTGTTCACAGGGGAAGTTTGTCTTTGATGTGTGCACCATGGGTTTAAAAAACAAACAAACTGAAAAAATGCTTTTTAGTGTGGTTTAAGGTTATGTAAACATAATTCCTTGAATGGTAAGATGCTTGTAAGTATTTCTCAGATTCATAATAGTGTCTTCTGCTTGGTTGATAATGGACAAGCATAAGTACATCAAAATGACACCATTAATTAGATCTCCATTCTGTGTGGCTGATTTATACCTGGATGCCATTCGCAAGTCACCACCACAAAAGCATGCTTTTCAGCGCCATCTAGTGGAAGTAGTGCCATGCAAAAACCACGTAACCCAGGGTTATAGCCTATGTCCTTTGGTCACTTCCTTTGGTGCTGTATATTTATATTAGTGAGTGTACTTTTAAAAATAGGTTTTTCTGTTATAATAATTAAAACAACAGCTTACTCTCCTAAACACGTCTGTGAGCAAGCAGCTGTACAGATATTCAACATAACAATATTAGCAAATAAATATATATATATAGCACTAAAAAATGTGCAAAATGGTGCACTGCAAATACTATAATTTAATATTACACAGCAGTCATCATTCCATACAACTCAAAAGAAAAGTCCAAATTCGTAGGGAACAATACATACAGGGCCAGATTTACTCTCTTTACTGCCCCAAAGCCGGGTTCTACTACTCGCCCGGCGGCTGTGCTGCCCCTCTACTCCCTGCTGCCCTAAGGCTGGGCTTTGCTGGCCTTGTGGGAAATCCGGCCCTGAATACATATAATCCCACTCTACAATAAAGTGTATAAAGTGCAATATAAATGCTTTAAAAGCTTCACTAGCTTCAACCTCGGTGGTAAATATTCACTCACCAGATAGGGAGAACACGGTTGAAATTTTGTCTGCTGAAAGGTGTCAGGTAAGCGCTGGCTCATCCAAGGGGTACATGTGCTGAACAGGACCTACTCTACAGTTTGAATAGTACAGAATGCTGGTCTGGCTTAAAGGTCCTTTATCTGATTTGAATGTAAGTAGACATATGGAGTCTGCTTTTTGGTCTTCTTGGCTATCCTGAGCCCTAACGCCAGAATCTACTTACCTAAAACAAATCTCTTTGAGCATCCCAAAGTGACCTGAATATTTCCACCCCACAAAGTCAAATATTTCCCCCTAAGTGTTCAGATGTCAGCCCAGCGAGCCACTTGGGGGACCGTAGCATCCACCCTAGAAAGGAGGTGCTATAATATTAAACCATAGGTGCAACATTACATGAAGCCACACCCATTTTATTGGCTGCATCTGCTTTACAATAAATTGGCTTGACACTGAGCTGAGGTATGATAGGGCTCCAGCAAGTTCTGATAACGTTATCTGATTGGGATTTAGGTCATGGTATCAGAACGTGCTGCAGCCCTATAATATACCCATCTCACAGCCTAGCCAATATATTGTACTGCAATCTTTTGTAATGTCTCATCATGTGTTTGATTCTTCATTTTATTCTAGTTCTATTTCTATTTTTAAAAAAAGAAAGCATATACAGCATGGGTAGGCAACCTTGGCACTCCAGCCGGTGCAGAACTACAAGTCTTGTGAGGCATTGCAAGAGTTTGACAGCCACAAGCATGACCCCCAGAGGCAGGGGCATGGTAGGATTTGCAGTTTCACCACAGCTGGAGTGCCGAGGTCACCTATCCTGATATACAACATTTCCTCTGTAAAATTATAATTATGTAATATAGTTTTGGAAAGAGGGTGGAATGGTTAGACCCCCTGTTAGGTTTTGTTCCTGTGTTCCCGCTGGCGATATTCACCCTGGTGTCCATTGTCTCCAGTACAGAAAGTGGTGGCTAATCTAAAATCTGTCACAGAAACAGAAGGGAAGGGGAGATCTTCCAATCCAAACAGCTCAAAGGAAATATACCCCGTTGCTTTCAAAAGATCTCCTCTTACTTCCTGCTGTGTCTTTGGGACTGGAAGTGAATGGGAATCTCCCTAAAGGAATACAAACCCCCCCCCAAAAAAAAACATGGCAGTAGTTTTAACCGTTCCCCACTCTATCCAAAACTTTAAAAAAAATAGGTTTGCCCTTATATGCACTTTAAAAAAAGGTTATAGTGCCCATTTAAAGATAAACTTTTCCAGATTGTCTCTATTCTTTTCAAGTGTAAAGGTTACATTAGAGATGTCTGCACGAAGAATAAACTTGCATGGTTTCTTTAACATGTTCCATTTGCTGCTTTATTGCATCCCAAAGAAGCTCCTGTACTTTTTTGGGCGTAGGGTGTTTTGCAGCGCGTTCCTACGCGCTGTAAAACGCCCAGGTGGGAACCATGCCCATAGGCAATCATTGGTTTTCACATGTTGAGCGTTTTACAGCGTGTTGGAACGCGCTGTAAAACGCCCAGGTGTGAACCAGACCTTGTTAGACATGGCACACCAAAGACGTGCGGTCAGGGGAGGCTGGTGAGGCAGAGCCTCACCTAGTATTATGGAGGGAAAAAGCTGTCAGCTTCAGGTCTGAAGCTGACAGCTTTTTCTCCATTCAGTTTGGCTTCTATCAGGTTACACAGCAGGGAAAGCCTCTCCGCTGTGTAACCAGTCATGGATGTCAACTAGGTTGGACTTGATGGACTAATGTCTTTATTCAACCTCAAATACTATGTAACTATGTAACTATGGATGGAGCGCTGCCTGTTAATTACAGGCATCGCTGCATCCGGCTTTTGACAGGTAGTTAGGTTACACAGCAGCGGGCTTCCCCACTGCTTGTGTAACCTAACTATTGAGGCAAGAGCTGTCGCAGCCTCTACTCTTTGTTAGAGGCGTGAGCTCTGTGGATGGCTTGGACCAAAGCGCCATTGGTCCAAGGTGCCCAATCTACAAAAGAAAAAAAAACCCACTGAGGCCATCGATCCTGATGCCTTTGCTAGTGGCGAGGCTGGGGAATGTCTCACCCACAACCAGAGGTACCGCACGTCACTGTGGCACACTGATGACATGCTGCTGATTTCAAACCAATTGGTCAATGGTATAATGCATGCAAGTGCTTTGTTGACACTTAGCCAAGTCAATGCAAATGGATATTAGATGGACCCTATATCTATTTTGCCTCAGACCTATGTAAAGCCAAAGCTTTTTTTTAAGTCTGTAGGGATTAGGCAAGGCCCCTTATATCCCGTCACTTCCTGTGACATGGCAGGAAGTAGAAAGAGATCTCTTCAAAGCAAGAGGATGTCCCCTCTTACACAGTTGTCAACAAAACAGGTTTTCTTCTTGGAAGATTTCTCCTCACTTCCTGTACATATGACAGCTCAAGAATGCTGGATTCTCTATAATTTTCTGTATCACTTTATGATACAGGGACAATGGTTGGCAGGCCCAATAGTGAGGACAAAACCACCCAGCAGGGGCACATACAGCAATAACTTGTTGCTTAACTGGCACCTGGGGCTATCATGCTAAATACCCCTCAGAACCCCTCCACTAATTGTATTAGTTCAGTGCAACCTTCATTCAATACAAGGCCCTGATGAAGGGGGATTGTTTGAACCCCCAAAAACACATTGGCTTTTTATGATACAAACTTTGAATAAAATGGACTTCATACGTTCTGCCTTTGCCTCATTCCTCCTTGCACACCTAGCAATAAAAACTTGACAGAGATTCTAACCCTTCCTCATTCTTTTCAAAATGAAAAGGAAAAGTTTTGACTTTACATACACTTCAGGGGTTAAACTTCTGCATCCTACCTGCAAGCAGAGGCAAGGTCCACACATCTGTAATGGCATTGGCAGTTCGGCTGTAGACTTTATCAAGGAGAACAGGGGTCCCTTCATCAAAGAAGTAAGAGCAAAGTGCTGGAATGGAGTTTGTGGGACCTCCAATGTTAAATCTATGAATAAGAAAACGTTTATTGACAATAGTTTGTAATGCATATTACTCTACCACCAGCTTTTCCCAACCAGAGATTTATTCATGTTTATTCAGAGGTTGAGCAATGAGCAATTTCTGACTCTCAGTTAGGTAACCACTGAAACCAATGATCTTTTAGCTATAGGGAGCATTCTTTCCAATAACCACCACGGTAAGGCCTCGTTCACACCAGATGCAGTGTGTTCTGGCCCGACTTTCTTGTGGAGCAGGAGGGTGCGTGGCAGGCTATAGAAGTGAATGGCACCGTAGCCACACCCTCCAGCTGCAATGCGATCAGCCGCACGGGATGGCGGGGCACATTATGCTTTCGGTCCGATCAAACTGCTGCAAGCACTATTTTTTGTGACCGGACAGAAACGCAGGCATTGATGTGCCATGCGTTTCTGTGCGGCTGATCGCATTGCGTCCGGAGGCGTGGCTGTGGTGCTATTGAGTTTAATGCACCGCCAGGCCCCCACCCGCCCTACAAAACGTGGGCTGGCCGCAATGCGATCCAGTGCGTTCTGGCCAGAATCGGACCGGAACGCACTGTGGCTGGTGTGAACTAGCCCTAAGAAGCCTTTCTCCACTGGCCATGAATATATGGAAGATTTCACTGACCACCAATGTAGGGAGTACTTTTCCACCAACCATTAATGTAAGCAGGCATTTCTTGACTGACCACCAATGTGAGAGAAAACTATAATAATTATTATTATTGTTTTATTTACAGCCCTAGGTGTCAAATGCAAAAATACAGTATATCCCTTATTCTGTTATTCATTTTTATATCTCAACCTATTGTATCGCGAGCTGTAGATATAGTAATTAGTAGGGGTTCCCCGAGACCTGGAAATTACTTAGATCTCCTATCACCCTTGAAAACAAAAGTGAGATGTCAGTCTCACCCCTAATTATACATTTTTTAACCAGGATTCACACAGGAATTGGTTATTTGCCTGTCCTTGGCTCATCAAGGGATTCATTTATGGATTAACTCAAATGTGCCCTTTTTCAACCCCTGCAACTGTGTATCTGCTCACCGCATGTCGATAATTAAGGCATCGGTGCTAACAACTTTTTTCCATACATGTTCCACCAAAAGATGTGATACTTGGTTCAGAATATCACATTCAGCAAACATATCAAAACGCATGTAACCAATATTCTTTTCAAACACATCCGTGTGGAAGGAAAACTTGATAAGGTCTTCAAACATATCAGGAGAGGGGATCTGAAAAAAAGAGAAACATTTTTTAAAGGATTAACTAGAATCTACCTATTACTTTCCTTTATGTTAAATTCCCATAGGGCCAATGATTGGGCATACCGTAGCATTGAGAGCGACCACCTAAGATTCTTCGTGGAGACTTGCTCTCTCAAGTGAAGAGAAAGGTTGTGTACATCATCCCTCTATTGTAATCAACAATCTCACCCAATGTAGGTTAGTGAACTTGTTTTTATACTGGTACCTTTCTAATCAAATTGTACTACACCATAAGAGCTCTCCTGCCTCTCCCTTGTTTATTGCATGACTGTTGCTCGATACCCTCCCATTGTTTATATAAGCCAAGGAACTGCGTGCGATTTCCATATCCAGTCACAGGCTAGGAGAGGGACAAGATATTTAACAGACATGTAAATTTAGTTTCGTTCTATATAGATATTCGTACTAATTTCATTGCATTCAGACGTGTTGAAAATGGAAATTCGATGCATCCGAATGTCTGAATTTAAACGAATCCGAATGTTCGTTTAACAAACATTCGCATCTATCCATTTTTTTGGGCTGTTGGGGGTTGTATGACAGGCACGGTTCCGTGACTTCCTGTTGTGGATCATTCCAAAACGAAAATTCGGACAGATACGAAATCTGAATAACGAACCGAATCGAATTTCGAATCTGTAATGTTAAAAACTAAAGAAATAAAAATCTGGATCAATCCGAAACTAAACACATTTTTGCAGTATTACATGTCAAATATCAAATCCGTGCTGTGGCAGAGCTGTATAAATCGAAGAAATGGATGGACATAAATATAAATCCTTTGGCAGTTAAAATAGCTTAGTTGTATTGCATTTCCTTATTGAGTAAATTATGTTCATAAGGGAACACAGAAGGGAACTGTTAAGGGGTTCAAAAGACCCTTTTACTAAGGCACTTGTACAATATCAGGACAACAACAACAGCTGTAAATACATTGTTTTCCAAATATATTTTTCACAATTCAGTTTTTCGATTCTTGCAGAAAAAGGTGTAAATATAGTCAAGACTTTTGTTTTTAGTTTTGGGTAAAGTGGAGAACAATTAGAACCCCTTTTTTATTGTCCATGTTCCATCACACTCCATCTATCCTTAAAACCACTATCAACAAGACAGAAAGTGATGGAAAATCCATCATTTTACACATGTCACCAGAGCAGGAGTTGAGGGCAAACTATCCAATAGAGACACCTGTTCTGGTGACAACTGTCCAATAAGGGAAATGTCCTCGCTTTTTAGAGATTTTCTCTCACTTCCTGTTTTGTCGGCAGGACAGGAAGTGAAAGAAAAGCTCCAACCAGGACACAATTGTTAAAAAGAAACTGGAACAGCTTTCAACCTTTCTCTACGCTATTTAAAATAAATAAAAAAATGGCTATACATCCACTTTACATTTTGAACAGAAGTGTTATAGTCACTCTTTAATTCTCTGCTGTAATCTACTGAATACAGAATTTCATATAGTTGCAGTTCCTCTCTATAGTAATAACGAAGCTCCCCATTTCATTTTATTATTTCGGTTATATGCCACAGACAATATAATAGCCTGCGCTAAAATAAGAGAGAACAATAATGATCATTGATTCAATCAAAAATAGTAATAATTTGTTATAGAAACACTCAGAATTTGTCTTTTAGCACATGGAGAAAGGGAACCTGTCATTTTGGAGCAACCATTATGCTGCAATGAAGATACAGAATACGATACAGGTTTGCCTCCAAAACCCTTGTTTTGGAGGCAAACATTGCTAGTGGTCTCTGATTTTAATACTTGAAATGGATGCACAGCCAGTGAAGTCAGAATTTCTGACCTGAACAATAGGTATAGGTCAGAGCCTCAGAAATAATTAAAGCCACACAATCAGAATAACAGCAAAATAATTATTATTTTCAGTAGTCAGTAATAGCAACTTACATAGTATCTCAACACAAGTTAATTTGAAGCCCATCTAAACCTTCATTGTTTGTATTACTGTAATGTAGTCAGGCTGCATAAACAGCAATACATGTGGGTGTCTTTTTTTAAAATTTTTTTACTATAACATACTATTGTTCTGTAGCTATTGTTAAAATGCCCTGCGCTGCCAGCAAGCTGGAGAGCACTGCAGACCACTGCTTGCCACATGGTCTGGATCACCAGTGGTCTGAAACACATCCTGCACATTACAGTAACATGCCAACTTTTTTGGAAGTTGATATGGGCTTAAGTAACAACTAAGGCCTTGTTCATACCAAATGCAAAGCAGATCCGGTCAGGTTTCTGCACACGCACCCTAGTCTTTTAGGCGCGTTTTTGACGCGTTTTTTATGCGTTCCGGGCACTTTTTGGTAAAAAAAATTATTTTATTTTTTAAAAAGTTTAAAATGGGCTTTCAGTGCGTTCCAGGCATTTGCATGTGTTTTTGATGCATTCCAGAGCAGACCCAGAGCAGGTAAAATAGGGCCTGCTGCAGTTTTTTCACCTGCTCTGGATCTGCTCTGCAACTGCACGCTGCGATGTGAACTGGAGCAAGAAATACCATTGGACGCAGTTTTGATCCGGTCTGCAACTGCTCTGCTCTGCGCTTGGTGTGAACAAGGCCTAAGTAGTACCTGCTTACCGTAAAAAATGAAGTTACATTACAGTAATAAAAAGATTTTCACTTTCAGTTGAGCTTAGTTTTTTTGTTGTCTGGAAGGTATAGTTGTATTTAAGCACCACTTTCAAAATTACCTAAGCCATAACAAAAAAACAACAACTGCGGGACCTATATTTCCTACCTTTTTTCAGATCAGGGATATAAATATAATATAAATATTATTTACCAATTCCTAAGACTTTGTGTGCGCCTGTCTGTCAAATGTCAGGCTAAATGGCAGATTTAAAACTATGAAACACTTATGTTAAAAACACCCTTTTCAGGGCCAGGGGCAATTAATTTATTTGTATCAGACCTGCATCTTTCCCAATACAAGTTAATGGGGATGAAAAAGTACCATGAAGCAGGTTTATGCATAAAAGAATGAGCTCTGAATAATAGAAGCATCTCAAACTGATCTCAAATGAAAAATGAATGCACCTTAAAGCTAACTGCATTTGCCTATTAACACAAGCCCAATGACTGTCAAATCTGGAAATGTCCCTTGACCCTGTGTTTGCTAGACTGATTGAGTTATTGGTGAGGAAAATAGACATGTGTCGTTTGTTTAGATTAAATATTCAAATCAAGCAATGTTAAAGGATGGAAAAAAAATAAAACAAATGTCATAATTTATTTTGGACTAAGCTGTTAAATATAATAAGTTTAAAATTAATCATTCTATATATTTCTTCTCTGCAGAAACACCTACTTTGCTGCCTTTTAGCAAAAGTGAGACCTACGCCATAAGCAATAATACATTAGTATGTGTATTACCTGCATTGGCACAACCCCTGGTATGCGATCCTTTGAGTTTTCCGGTATGTAGACAGCTTTGAGATGAACATCTGCTGACAGAGTCTGAAGATCGTAGTTTATTTTTTCAGCTAGTTCCATTTCAGACTTAATTGTTCTGTAGTCCCTTTTGTCCACCATGGAAAGAAGTTTTGAAGCCACTTCTGCTCCGCTTTCTTCAAAGGCATAGTTATCAGCTACTAGTTTTCCAGCAGTCTGGATAATGGAAGGAATTTTAGCGCGCAGGTTAATTATGCGTTGAGCAACGTTCATGGCCTCATTGGCTTGAATGATTACATGAGGTTCAACCCCTGATACGCTCCACACTTTGCCAGTCACGGAGCTAATCACCACTTGATTAGGAATTGAGGCATAAAGCTGACTTTCCCCAACTTTGTATATACCAACAGACAAAGACACCCCGCTAGTTGGCTCACCAATAATAGTAGCTCGATTAAGATCCTTCATTGATCTTGTGAAGGCTTCAGCTGCTGAACCAGTCATGTGACTTGTGAGTACATAAATGTCTTTGGAAGACCCATATCTTTGGCCAGCTACTACTGGAAGTGTCCATATTTCAGTACCAGTTGAGGTGCTACGATCATACACTGTGTAAAGGTGTTGTAGTGGCTCAGGATCAAAAAAATATGAACAAAAAATGGGGATGGCAGTAGAATAACCACCAGTGTTGTATCTCATGTCAATGATTAAGGTACTTGTGTCAACCAACTTATTCCAGACAAGACTAACCAATTGGGGCCCAATAGCTTTAATTATTTCTGTATCGGCCATCATGTCAAATCTCAGATATCCTACATTTCCTGGCAGAACTTCAATCTTAAATAAAGCATCAATAATGTAGCTAAGTTCTTCTGGTGAAGGGATTTTTGGAGGCTTGTCTTCCAAGACTTCTGGTTCTATGTCACTGTAAAATACATGAAGGCGATGGTCTCCTGAGATTTCCTGAATGTCTGAAGTAAGTTGAGAAGCCAAAGATTCTAGATCAACTACAGATCGGTATCCACCCTCAGACCACTTACTCTTAAGGGCATTACTCACTTTGTTAGCCAACTCTGGAATGGCATAATGGACCTCTAAGAGCACTCCAGTGCCCTTTACCAATGCAGAGACTTTTGGGTGAAAAATAATGATTTCCTTAGCTTTTTCCAAGGCTTCTTCTGCTAGAACAATAGCATCTGGCACTACTCCTCCTCCAAGCCAGCAATCACCATTATTGTCTATAAAGTTGATCACAGGCACTGTTACAGTCAATTGAGTGGAATCAAGATTTGATGACCGTGAGTGCATTAGGGTCCCTGATGTGATTTCACCAATGATTGTGGCTCTGCTCAAAGACTGCATAAGATAGGCAAATTCTTCTGCTGCTGTAGCAGTTCTGTGGCTGGTCAGTACATACACCTCTCTTTTAGAACCATATCGTTTCCCATGAAGATCGGGAAGGCTATAGAACTCCTTTGTAGTGTTTGATAGTCGGTCATACATGGTGAAGAGATGAATCCTAGACTCTGGCTCATGAAAGTAAGACAGAAGTAAGGGAATGGCAGTGGAGGGACCACCAGTATTATAACGCAAGTCTATAATGAGGTTTTCTGTGCTTGTGATTGGATCCCAAACTTTGTTAACAATGTGAGGTCCTAATTTACCGAGAACAGTGATATCAGCAAACTCATCAAATCGCAAGTACCCTATGTTCCCAGGGAGGATATTAACCTTGAAAACACTGTTGACTAAAGCTTGAAGAATATTTTCATCATCTGGTAACTCCTGCTGAGATGGAAATGTTTCTGGCAGCACTGGGGTAAAATATTTGCACCTTACAATCAGTCTGGGGTCCTCTGTCACAGATTGAAGCTCATAATTTAATTTTGCTGCAAGATCTTCTTCAGAAATGACTGAGGCATAGTCCATGTTTGAAAGATGCTTTAACAAAGTTGGGATGCGGTCAAGGAAAGCATAAAGGTTTCCCAAGATTTCATTGAGCTGTTGTAGTATACTTGGAATTTTGGAACGAACAGACAAAATGTCCAAAGCTTTATTAAGTGCATCCTCTGCATTCACAACTACACAGGGAAAAACACCAGCTACTTCCCAACTCTGCCCAGTTAGTGGACTTATTGATCGGGATACAGGAACAGTGATGTAGAAATCTGATTGTCCAATTTTAATTTTCTCTATGTCCAAAGACCCGCCTGCTGTTCTTTCTCCAACAATAATTGCCCTGTTCATATGTTTAAGAATGTAAGCAGCATCCTCAGCAATGCCTTTGGTATACCTGCTTGTTAACACTATCACATCTTTGCTTTTGCTGTATCTCTTACCTATCAATGCTGGAAGTGTCCATAACTCTGTTGTGGTGTTGGTAGGGCGGTTGTAAATGGTGTCAATATGGACTACAGGTTGAGCTTCAGTCAAGTAAGACACAACAAAGGGAATGCCAGAGACCTTACCTTGAGTACTGTGCCTTAGATCCAAAACCAGAGCAGAACTTGGCATAAGTTTTCCCCAAATGTTCTTCACAAGAAAGGGACCAATTTGTTGAACAACATCTTGACCAATTACATAGTCAATTCGAAGGTAGCCAATGTTTTCAGGCAGAACTTCATACTTAATGGAATGATCCACAAGGAACTGCAGCTGCTCAGGAGTTGGGATGGTTTCTGTCTCTTGCTTCACAGTAGGAGATGGCTCATAAGATACAATCAGTCGTGGGTCATTGAGTGAACTTTGTACCCCAGCTGTGAAAACACTAGCTAAGGTTAAAGGATCAGAAACATGCAGAACCTCCCCACTTTTTATTGCCTGTTCTATGGTCTCTTGCATTCCCACCAGGTTCTCAGGATAGCAGTAATTGTCCAACAGTACTTTGGCCATGTCCAGCACCAAGGATGGTTGAAAGACAGGGTTAGAACAGGCATTATGAAAGAGTAGCAGAAAGATCAGGGCTGGATAGCAGTTAGGCATGTTGTTTCAGAGCAGCTAAATTTCTTCTGTCCACTGCTTCTGAGAATGAAGAATTAAATGCAGGGCACAGAACAGCCAATTCTCTTATCTCCACTAAACCTTTAATCACATTAATGAAACTATAAGCATCAGCACAAGGGTATTTCTGGGAAAACATGACACTGTCTGTACTGTGAGCATCTGTTGCCTTGATTTTATTTTGTGGCTACAATTTTTGGAATGAATAGTCCTGAAACTTAGCAAGCTTGTAGTACAATTATGTATAACAAGCAATAAGATAAGTATAAAAAAACAACAGTAATAATAATAATTCAACAGAAACCGTGGTTTTAATACATTGCACTGATGATGGCCAAAACCATGAAACAGCTGTATGTAGTTTTAAAAGAATGACTCCATATTTGGGTTTATCAGTACTATACACAATTGGTTCTGATCATGGCCTTTGGGGGGGTGGGGGGGGGGGAATTAATGTTTTGTATGGCTCCACCACTATGAAGAATAATTATTTTATTTTTGGGATATGAGATAAAATTAAACTTTGAATAAATGAATGCTTTCAATTTTAAGAGGGCTCTAATGTGCTATATGTATATATTAGAAACATGTTTTTAAAGGTTATCTAAAACAAAAATATTGTTTTCCATTTTGGATAGAATAGGGAAGGGCTGGAATCTTTTATTACTGTCCGCTGGGTAGATCCACCCTCTCTATTTGTCCTGGTGACAATGGTTACCAGTGACAGCTTTGAAAGGGTCACCACACACCATATAATTTTTGTACAATCAATTTTAGATTTACCAAATCTATGAAATAGGAGGACCTACCTAATCTATCCAATCAATCTGCATCCAATTAGTCAGATCCTTGCACTACAGTTGTTTGTAAATCTAAAGGAGATTGTATAATCAGATTGTAACGTGTGTGTTGAGCTTGCATACTTTCTCTGTTTACTCCCTTTTAGATTTATCAAAACTAGGGATGCACTGATAACAGTTTTTCTGTATCGAGTACGAGTACCGATATATTTTTTTGGGTACTCGCCTATACCAGGTACCAATACCGCGGTGCTGTGTGCCCCGATTATCAGGAAGTCGGGTGGCGGATCATGACCTATCGCCTGGCTTCCTGATTGCCTGGGAAGCCAGTGTTCTATCGCAAGAGCACTGGCTACACTTGCTGTGACTGCCTGGCTTACTGACCAATCAGAAAGCTTGGAAGGGGGGGGGGTCATTACCTGCCGCCTGGCTTCCTGATTGGTTAGGGAGTCAGGCTGCCTAGTAACAAGTGAAGCCGACTTCCTAGCCAATCGGGAAGCCGGGTGGAACGCCATAACCCACCTCCCGGCTTCCTGATTGGCTAGGAAGCCGGCTAAACCATGTTCAGCACTATGGTTGAAAATTATCAATTTGACCACATTATTGTCAAATCAAATTAATGTTCCGATAACAAATTTTTTGATCAAAATTCTACTGGTATATGGCCAGCTTAACAGTACAAACCAAATATAAGCATATACTGATAAAGCTTTTACATAATAAAGAAAATCTCTTCTGCTATTTTAATCTGCTATTTTTACCATTTTGTATCAGTAGTTGAAGAGTTAAAACCACAACTTTTTCTGAGGTATGAGTAATGGTGCTATGCAAATATAAACACATACATGAATGTTGGAAGCTACTAATCATATTTAATTCAAGTAATTAGGATTTGCCTGTTTATCCCGATGCTACCTGAGGTCACAGCTGACACCATTGCTCCTGACCAATAGAATTGAGACTAGGGTTAACGCAGAGCATGAACTTTTCAACTTGTCAAGTGACACAAAGCCGATCAGAGATGCCCTGTAATCCTGTCTTCAGACCTATAGAAAATTGATGGGTTTTATATGCACACGCAGAAGAAAGGGACTGCTCAAAGGAGATCTTAAGGCAGATGTTATTCCATGTACAGTCATAAAGAAAAATAGAATTAATTCATTTTAAATTACATTATAAAAGAGAATCTGATTCTTGATTAGGGGGAAGTAAGTGTAATGCTGTGAATTACAATCAACTCTGTGGCTGTCATCCAACTTTGAATAAAGCTCACATGCTGCACACCCTGGTTTCTTGTTTTCTCTGAAAAATGTCCTGCCAGATATAAGACCAAAAAAAGTCCTAGGGCACTTTGGCAACAAAGGATCCTTGCATGTTAACTAGCTCTTAATTTGAACATCAATCTACTGTTATGTGGAGTAGGCAGAAATCTTTTTCATTTGCCGTTTATTCGAGTTTCCAGAACAATTAATAAAAAAACATGTAGGACACTATAAGAAGTGTGCACATAAACTGCCAAGTACCAACGTCTGTCCCTTGACCCCATCTCAAGCACTGCTTGTAATTAGTGTCCTGGGTTGGAAGAAGGTGTTTGCCATCTCTGTGGGTTTTACATTGTGTTAGGTCAGTGACGTAGAGCAGTGTTTTTCAACCTTTTTTGTGCAAAGGCACACTTTTTTCATGAAAAAAATCACGAGGCACACCACCATTAGAAAATTTTAAAAAAATTAAACTTTAGTGCACACTCTTCATACATTTAAGTGCTGGCCAAGGCCTGAGTATTTAAGCACCACACCCCTGGGTTGAAAGTGTAAAGTGTATACATATCTCGAATAAAAAGACATTTTTATTCAGAATTGTCTTTTGGCACCATTAAAGCCCCACTTTTTTTCTTTTTCTTTACACTAGTCAAGTGCACACTGCTGGTGTGTCATGGAAAAGAACCCCCTCACCTTCCCAGTTGCTAGGAGCGTGACAAGACCTGCAGAAAGGGGGGTCCTCTGAGGGATGCTGGCAGAATTGCCTCTATCAATGCTCCGGCTCTTTAACGGCTCAGAGCTCCTGTCACGTCACCGGCTCCTCCCCCCGAGCTGGAGACGTGACAGAACCTTTCATCGCTCCACCCCTCCGGCTCTGTCACGGCTTCATCTTTTCTCCACGCCGTCACTACTCCACGCCCCCCTGCTCTGTCACGCGGCTGCATCACCGCTCTATACCCGTCACCGCCGCTCCACGGCCCCAGCTATGTCATCGCGGCTGCTCCACGCTCCCAGCTCTCGTCGCGGCTCCATTGCCGACCCGCGTCCCCTGCTCTCGCACCGGTATGATTGGCTATTTGTGAGTCAAAGCCGCGGCACACCAGACAATATCTCACGGCACACTAGTGTGCCGCGGCACAGTGGTTGAAAAACGCTGACGTAGAGGATAGGTCAATGTCAGTTTAAATTTTACTCTGCAGTCCTTTAACCTATTCAATATAAGATATGTATGTCTATAGTTGTGTTTTAGTTTTTCCAATTGCCTTGGTCAGAAATGTTTAAGTGGGTTTCATTTTTTAAACAATCACAGGGTATCAATGCTTCTATTCTTACAATACACAGAGGTCTAGGGAAGATCTTGGCAAGCATCAGGTCTGACATAACTGGTCTCCAATGTTGTACATTTACCAAAAGCTGCATTCTTATCAAATGTGAAGATACACAATAATGATAATTTGTTTCTCTGCCTATTTTCATGCCATACGTCAGGGCCGGGCTGGGACAAAAAATAGGCCCGGGCATTTTAGACTGAGCAGCCCAATCACAAGATCCCCAAAGGCCCCGCGCCATTGTAATCCAGGGGCGGAGCCAAACACTGACATTCAATTGTTTCAGGGGCCAGCCAAAACAGTAGGGCTACAGTCAAAACACAAGCCTTGCTACAACCAGCATACAAACCTTGCCACAATATGCAAATCGAACAACAACTAATGTGCAAACCTTGCAACAATATAGGAAGTTTGCTACAGAGAACTCTTATGCTATCCTCAGCGGATCTCCTCCTCCCCAGCCGTCCTCCGCACCACGAGCATGGTGTACAGGTCAGTGCTCACAGTTCTTCAGCAACACCAGCACGATACCATCTATTCCATACACAGGCGAACCACAACACAGCTTTTAGAACTCTGCTGTGATATGTAATTTCCACTCAAAATTGAAAGCTTTATGTGTAGCAGAGAATACTGACACTCAGGTGAATGCTCGCAGAATGTAGAGTGTGTGTACAGTCCCCTATCTGATGGCAATAAAGTTAAGTGGAAAAAAAATAGGAAAAAAATTAAAGTTTCCCCCAAACAATTTAAAGTTACACATAAAAAGAATTTAAAAAAAACAATTTTTTTTTAAAAAAGTCCCCACCCATACATACATACACACATGCAAACATGCGTCAGGGGCGCAGGGACGCCGCACATGTTACATATGACCGCGAACGTGGCAGTGAGAGCAATAATTCTGTTATCAATCACTGATAACACTAAACTGATGAGCTGTAAAAGCTTTTAAAGCGTCGCCTATGGTCAATTTTGAGTATGGTAGTTTTTTGCGATTTTGCGGGTGTGCGCAATTTTTAAGCTTGACATGTTTGGTGTCTATTTACCTGACGTGACCCGATCTTTTATATTTTACCAAAATAATTGGGTAATAATAATTGTTTCCTAACATAATGTTAAAAAAAAAACGTTTTTTTTTCAAAATTTTCAGGAATTTTCCCGAAATATGGTAAAAAATCAAAACCCCAGTGGTGATTAAATACCACCAAAAGAAAGCTCTATCTATCCCCCAAAAATGGTATAAAATTAATTTCAGTACATCGTTGCATGACAGAATAAACGTCAGTCAAAGTAGCGCAGCGCTGAATACTGAACAATGGCCTGGCCAGGAAGGGGGTCTAAACACCTGGTCAGCAAGTGGTTAAAAACTGTATTTTTTTAAAGTTTTTTTTTTCATTGATTCATGTCCTCCTGGGCAGTACCCGGATCCCCATATACATTTTATGGCCAATAACATGCATACAAGCACTCTTAAAGGGGACAATTGTTTTTGAAAGTTCTAACCCCATAGACTTGCATTGAGTTCCAGTTTGAATTCAAACTTTTTGCATGTTCTAAAGTTCGAACTCGGGCCTGTTCGGCTCATCACTAAT